ATAAATTAAAATAAAAATGCATATCCCAGCTTTTAAAGTATATTGCGCTGCCTATTCTAATTCCCCACCCATAAAACCCCTATAACCACAGCTTCTTTGGGACAACTGCTCGGACTGGGGGTATATAAGTTGTACTACTAAAACTACTGTTGCCGATGCGTGATTAATATAAAGCCCTCACCCGCCTGCCCACCGGCGGCTGTATGGTGTTAAAGCAACAGACTGAGTTTTTGCCCGGACCTGCAGATTAAATTTATTTTGCTATCATAACCGTGGTACACTGTGACGTGATCCAGACGCAAATTAGAACGTCTAGAAGGAGAAATAAAGGCTTTCAGGAACTATGGCTGCCTGGCATGCAGCCTGCCAGTCGGCCACTCCACACAAACACACACTAGGCAGACTGCGTGGTCGGAGTTACACCCGTCGGTTGGCAACTTTTAAAGTTACGACTTTTAGCGCACCGTGATATCTTCAGGCGCGTCAGATTGTTTAAAGTGACGAAAGTGCGCTGAACTGCCAACCCCTAGTGCCACTTGAAAGAACACGGCATTATGAACCACTGAGATCACTGGCTGCAAGCATGTCATACGTTTAGTAGGTTTAATATTCGCGGAAGCATTGGATTTCAGCTCAAATATTGTCTTTTCAGACCCAACCTGGCAAGATATTCTCCGAAGCATTTGCTCTAAGTCCACGCATAAATCTGCCAGGAGTGTACTGTATTGCAAGTCTTACATGCAAATTTCATGACGAAATTTAACTTGGAAGTTAATCATGTATTTGGACAGGCTATTTTGCTCAAATGGGTGGCTATAATAATAAGAAAGGCTTTAGATTGGAAAACTGTCCTCCAAGTTAAAGTTATGGAGCGAAACAGGTTCTAATTTTGGCTACATCATGCGTAGGTTTAGATCGATGAAATTTCCTATGCTTTAAGATACGACAGAACCAAACTTTTTATTAATATGCATTGTGCTATGGAAGAACTCCAGATTAATTAAAAAAGTGTAAAAATGATCCCTTTCAGAACTAGAAAATGTGGTCCGAAGTTGCTCAAATGGAAGTGAAGCCAACTTTAAGGAATCACCTTTAATTTCAGAAACAAGCAACAATTTAAGTTTTAAAAAATTATTTTAGCTAATCCGTGAAGTTTTTGTCACAAAATGCAGTAAAATAATGTTTAAATGCACGGCTAACCTTGGCGTTTAAGCAATGTTTCCGCATATGTTATCACAAAGTTAATGAAAAGAAGGCTTTATTGAATGTTAGTCATGTAGAAATATAGCTTTTTGTAAACTATACGTTTCACTTATGCGTTATTTAGAAACGGAGTAGACAGAAGAATAATAGGCATTTCAAAAATGACCATATATATGGCCAGATTGTTGCATTCGCAAGATGATAACAGAT